TACTGTAATAACATTGAAATTCTTGTGATTTTTTTTCATTGTGAGTGGGAAAATTTTTTCTCTCTTTATTCTTATACCTAATCAAAGGGATATAATTCATCGATACGAATTCAAAGACTAGGTAATAATACTGTTATTTTAATCTGACTTTGGAATGCTGTTGGTAGTTTTCTTTGGGCATCTTTGTTATTGTTTTGTATAGATGAGATTATCTTTTTTTTCCTCATTGAGTTTATTTTTCTGTCTACTCCATGGTTTATTTTGAAGGTATTTGGATTCTTTCCACTTGCTGCCAGCTGAAACATACAAAAAGTATCTCTAGAACACTCAACCACTGACTTGAATCTCAGTTGTAATTAAATTGAAATCTGGCAAATTATTTTGAGACTTAAAAGCAGACACACCTTATATTTGAAACATAATGCTACTCTGCATTTAAAAATTATTACTCTCCCTAGAGAATACTGGTGATACATTTTAACTAGCGTTTTTTTTTTTCCTTTTTCCTCATTGAGTTTATTGGTACATTTTAGGCATACAGTACAGTTACATTCATCATTGGGATCTTGTACCTTTACATGACAGGTCTTGTTCTCATTTTTTCCCCTTGTTCCTGCCCTCCCTTCATCCCTCCTCCCTCCCCCTTTATAGATGAGATTATCTTTTAAATGTTTTGTTTTCTGAGCTGGTCAGTTGCTCTGGGTTGGAAGTACCATAACGGCAAATCAGTCTACTCAAAAAAATGTTTGCTGATGATGCCAAAAACCAAGGTTTGATGATAATTTCCTGCATACCTGGGGATTTTATAAGTTCGTTACTTGTTTCATCTGTGAAAGAACAGTGGTCCTTACCTCAAAGTGTGCTCTGAAAACTAGGTTAGTACTGATAGGGAATTTGGAAGAGTGCTGGATCCAGCAAACCATGTTAGCTATTATTATTATGTGTTGTTTATTCATCATACTGGTTCTCTATGTCAGTGCTAATATTGCCAGTGCTTTACAGATGAGGAAACTGAAGGGCAGATAAAGGAATCTGTCCATGGTCATAGCAATGTGTGGGAGAGCTGGGATCAGAGTCCAGAAACTTGGACTCCTGATCAAACCTACTTATGTTTTTTTGAGTTTCCATTTTACTGGGCAGACCTTGTAATTCCGGGAAGGCCTTAATGAGCTAGAATTATTTATATGGCATGTGATTATATCTCCTGGGATCTATGAGTGACTATATGAGTTAATCATAGGCCTGTCATTGTACATCTTTGCATTTTAATTCTTAGCTGCAAAAGAGGGAAGATGAACCAAATGCTCTCCTGGGATTTTCCAGTTCTCTGAACACACTATAAGCCTGTGGAGTTTACTTTTGCTCAAGCAATTCACCGCATTTCATTTGACCGCCAGACAAAGAGAAATTGGTTAAAATTGTATGCATTTGGGTGTGTGTAAGAATGTTTTTTCTTGTAACAAGGTAGTTAAATACTGAAAAGAGAAGCTTTTAAATTCCCTTATCCAAAGCTCTGTAGGAAAAAGGTCGACGCTACCACTTGGAGTTGTCAGTGGGCACTGATTGCCTAGGGGCAGTGCACAAACTAGGTTATAGATTTCTTGCAGCTAAATGTTTCTATTTCTCCGTGATGTTAACTCACAGTAACTGTTAGGACTTAACAATCCTAGTCAAATCATTAGCCTGCACACCAAGCTGTGAATTTCTTGCTGGGAAAAGGAAGCAGGCATATTTCCCCATTCCCCTGGAGAAAAGGCAGCTGTAAAGTCAGGTGCTCTGTGGGCTGGAGGAAGGAAGGCCACTGGCAGGATCAGCTTTGAATGGAGGCTAAATTGTGAAATAGGCTGGGGTTTCTTTCAACTTCTCAAACCACACTGCACACTACTCACTCTTCCATTTAGGTGGTCCCTGTGCTCCTAAACAAGAATCCCCCTCCACTCCTACAGAACTCAGCACCTCCTTCCCCTCCTCCAGTGTCGTGCCCTGTACCTAGGAGCCCACCACTTTGGCAGCAAAGGGCTCATGGTGGTCTAGTAAGTAACACTTTCCAGGTAACATTGTTTTCGTACAGCCTTGACTGTAGGATCCATTATTTAATACACATATTAAAGAAAAGGTCCGGATGAAGACACATGACCTTCCTAGCTCAGTGTTTCCTGAATCTTCTTACCCTTCTATGGGCAAGGCAGCCTGGCCTGGGTGGAGAGAATTAGATCTACAAAGGAAAGACCTATTAAAAAGTATAATTTTTTAATTATTGTGGCTTCTGTGACAAAACAACACTTCCACATTGTTGGTGGGAATGTAAGTTAGTACAGCCATAATGGAAATCAGTATGGAGATTTCTCAAAAAACTGAAATTAGAAATTCCATTTGACCCAGGTATGTCCCTTCTAGGCATCTTCCCAAAAGAGCTGAAAACATCATGCTACAGCAATACATGCACACTGTTGTTTATAGCAGGATGATTCATAATAGCTAAATCCTGGAAGCAACTTATATTTTCATCAACAGAGGAATGGATAAAGTAAATGTGGTATCTATATAGAAAGGAATACTCCTTGGCTATATGGAAGGATAAATTTAAGACATTTGTAGGAAAACGAATACACTTGTAAAGTACAGTGTTCAGTGTAATAAATCAGACACACAAGCTTAAATACCGTGTGGTATCTCTCATTTGAGTAAAGCAAAGAGTAAATAAAGATAAAAATAAAGAATTGACAGGGACCAGGGATTTAGCTCAGTGGTTCTGCCTCCTGCCTCAAAAGTGCAAGGACCTGAGTTTAATCTCTGGTGCCAAACAAACTAACAAACAAACACAATGAATTGATAGAAGAAAATGGAAAGATAGATGTTTTGCAAGTGGGAAGGGGACCAATAGATCAATGTTGGGCAAAGCAGGTGTAGAAAGATTTAAGATATGTCATGCACATGTACCAACTACCCACAACGAGTGTAATCATTCCATGTCACCGATATGAACTAAAAATAATAAAAAACAATAAGGAAATTAGGGAAGAGGATCTAGAGATGGAGAGAGGGAGCAAGGTGTGGAAAGAAAGAATCGGGATGTGCTATATGCATACTCCTACTCCCCAAGATGAATGTAAACTTCATGTATTGCAAACATGTACTAATAAAATACAATTAAAGAAAATATGGGATCTGGGTGAGGTGGTGCTCACTTGGAGCCCCAGCTACTCGGGTGATAAAAGCAGGGAGATTGCTTGAGCCCAGCAATTAGGGGCCAATCTGGCAGCCTAGCTAGACCCCCATCTCTTAAAAACTTTCCACTCCTGGGAGGCATTGGGGCTTTTAAGAGGTGTGGCCCAGTGGAAGGTCTTGAGGTCACTGCAGGCCCTTATAGCAGTCAGTGCAATCTCAGCCTCTTCCCCTTGTTCTTTCTTCCTGCTCCCTTGGCCATGAAGTGAGTGGTTATGCTCTGCCACAGATCCCCCCACCGTTCTCATCTGGCACCTCCACCAGGGGTCTAAAAGCAATGGGTCTACAACTGGACCCTCTAAAACCATGAATCAAAACAACGTTTTTCTTTCTAAAGGTTTTTATCCCAGGTGTTTGTTACAGTGATGGAAGCTAAAACAGGTCCTAAAGGAAAAACATCCTCTTTTTGCTGTACTACTTAGTTTCTGAGGCTGGCAGGACCAAGTCTTAGGCTGATGAGTCTGTACTGCAGGCCAGGGCTCTGGAGTACAGCTCATTAGTAGAGCAGTTGCCTTGTGTATGTGAGGCCCTGGGTTTGATCTCCAGCACCAACAAAAACAAGGAACAGAAGTTACTGGTAAGCAAGGGTCCAAGCATAAAGAATGAACAAAACATTTTCCTTTTGGATAGAAAAGAGGACAAGATTCTTCAAATCTATTTTTCCAGGATTTAAACAAATTTTTTTTGTGGTAGTAAGTACGGGCTGAACCTAGGGCCTTGTGCCTGCCAGACCACTGCCCTATCACTAATCTTTATACCCAGCACTCCAGACCTTTTGTAACTCCCCTGTAAGAGTTAATAAATGACCTTAGATATGACACTTAGCTGGAGGTCTGGTGTTGAAATTCATTACTGGTGGAGCAGTCTGGGTGAATTATATTTCACTAACCTGTACCTCTGCTGTATAGCCAGGCTTACGTTTCAGCTTTTGCTTTCTCCCGTGATTAATATCTGTTGTTATCGTCACCATCTCTTGGCAGAGTCAAGAACTGATGGAGTTTCTAGTATTTTATAGGATTTCTGGGGCCTCTTAGTTTCTAACAGGAATATCTGAATAATTTAAATCTTTTGCATCCGTTCAATAGTGTCACCAAACCCTTGAATATGTTTCTCAAGGCACATGTGATCTTTAAAGTGACCTTGGATTGTTCTAGCCTGGTAGAATTCCTCCAGCCTTCAGAAGAGCTGGCCTTCTCCTGAGTCTTTGGCTGGCCTTAGGATGAATTTAGCTAGTACCCTCCACGATCCTCCTTCCTCCCCTCCCCAAATACCAACTTGCATACCATACATCGAGCTAGAAATGTGTGGTTTCTTAATAACAAAGCATAGTTTGATTGACTATCGGTATTTCTCAATTTGTTTGGATGGAAATAGTAGTACAGCAGTTGTGTCTATTTATTTCCTTCCACATACCATCTATTCTCTTACAAATTTTATCAAGTTGTACATGGAGTTGACAAATCCAGGTAATTTTTACAGCATCTGAAAATATCCTGTTATTCAAGATTGAGTATGTTTAATCATCCAAATCTGTATTTATCAAATTATGTGCAATATTTTGATAATGTCACACTTATGAGTATGTCGTGAAAATCATTAACTTTTTCTCCCTCACTGTTTCTCAAATGCTCTGTGTAGGTTTCTGGAAGCTTAGAGTAGAGAGTGACCTGTAGCGACTTTGGCTGACCCTCTTGTAGCATTGTCATTAGTATTTCATATCCTGTATTAATTTATACTCTCCTAACCTGAACATTTTTTTTTATTTACCTCTCCAGAGAGGTCCAGATCCTTCTGAAGTATGAAGGGAGGATCCCAGGAGAAAGAGCTGAACGAGACATATGTGGCAATTAGACAATCGATACACTTGAATCCAAGAAGTTGACTGCTGAGTTGGAGTAGCTGCTGTGCTCTGATCAAACCCACGTAAGTGACCATTGGCAAACAAGATGACATCTTTGCAGCAGCGTGGAGCCTTGATTTCCAGGCAGAGTAGTGAGACTGCTCCCACCAGCTCTCACAGGGCAACATGAAAGACCCAGGATTGGAGGGTGTTCCTACTAGGAAGTGATCATCTTGGGGTGTCTGTGCAGCTTTTTTCTATATGTAATTTTTCATAATCAGCAGTTTAAAAACATCCTCTTGTTTTCCTCCTTGTCTTTCTTGCAGTCTTATTTTAATTACTTTCTTGATCCCCTTTCCAATTCCTTCTAATCCTGGATTCAGGACTGATATCTACTGGCTCATAGACTTTGGCCCTGGGAAGTGAATTAAATATAGCTTGGATTCAAAACTCTGTTAGTTCAGTTGAAAAGCTCATATGTCTGAACATGCATTTAATTCAGTTCACAATGAGGCTAAAAGCAGAGTTTTATGTTGAGCAGAAACACAGAGAAAACACATGCCACACATCACAGAAATATATTTTTGAGAAAAACTAGTCAGCAGGCTTCCCTGTAGTTTATAGGACACTGCCTGTGGGTGCTCTGTGACACTTTCCTCTTGCTGTCATTCTGCATGGCAAACTTCTATCACAATTGTTATTTTCACGAGGAGTAACTCTTTAGGAACATTACATAGTGGGCGTAAACACAGGGCTGCATTATTTTCTTACCTACTTAAGGGAGTTTATAGATAATTAAAATAGTTATCTATAAATCTTTCCAATCTAAATAATAGCATTTCACATTTTTTCTTTCTCTCTTTCAATCATCCAATGCTGTCCAGGAGCCCTCACCATACGTCCAGCATCACTCTTAGAAATACCCTTGTTGACATGAACTGCTCAGGAACTAGAAAAAAAAAAAAAAAACAGAATCACCAGGAAAAATCAATTTCTTTCCTTATGAAAGAGGCAGAGGAATAAAGTAACAACAACGACAACAACAAAAGCTTACTCATGTTCACAGTCCCATTTTACTGTTTTTACGTCATTGCAGCTTGTCCTGAGTTCTTTTGCAAAAGGCCTCTGTGAGGTCAAGGCCGCTGAGACAGCCCAGGCAGTGGACCTTCAGAAAAGGGCTACAGTACTTCAAGGGCAGCTCCGAGTGAACCAGAAGAATCTGGTGTGGATTATAGAAGGAAAAGGAAAAAAGCGAGTCACAGTCACCGATTCACTGGCTAGCTGTGCAAAAAGGAAGACATTTTTAGTAGTAAATCTAGCAGGAGACTGCGTCAGGGCTTTTTGCCCCAAATTCACCCTTCCTGCCTCACATTTACTCTGCTGAACTGCCCAGTGAATGAATTCTTCTGACCTCCTAAGTCTGTTGTGAGTGGACCAGGAGTCTGGAGGAAAGTTGGGAGGATTCATTCACTGGGCAGATGCATAGTCGGTCTAAGGCAGGAAGAATGAATTTTAAAGCAAAAGACTTCTGAGTTTTAGAACAGAAGACTTCTGATTGACTTACAACACAGTTTAGAGGGTATTTTTGTTGTCTGTTTTGTGTATTTGCAGAAGTTCCAATCCTTTTGGATTTTCTGTTGTTTGAATGTAGCTGGGCAAAGAGACAAGGAGTAGGGAAGCTCAGACCTCAGCTTTAAAACAGAAAGACTAAGGCTGGGGATGTAGCTCAATAGTTCCATCGCCTGCTTCACAAGTGCTAAGTCCTGAGTTTGACCCCCAGTACCAATAAATAAATAAATAAATACATATGTACATACATACATTCATACAAACAAACAAACCAAAACCCAGAAAGACTGTCCCAAATAAGAGATTACCAATAATATGTGGACACAATTCCTATCATCTTGGAGTTGTCATACCTATACTTGTTTTAAAAATTAGTGTCAGTGCTCAGAGAGTATTGATCATGTAATTTAACAAAATGTAGTAGTTTCATTTAATGAATTTTGTGTTATGTTAAAAATGCATTAACACTTCCTTAGCTGTCCACAGGAAAATGACATTCACTTTGCATGATAGCAATGAGGGTAAAAGCTGTAATTCCAAGTTCAGTCAAGCACTTTTGGAGCTAATTTGTTCATATTTATTCATGTACTTGGAACAATTCACATTTGGAAGTGGCTGTTTCAGTCAAGCATCTTGCTGTAAGGGCTCTGAAGCTGTTCAGTCAGTGAGTCTAAAAAGGATTTTTCATTGTGGTTTTCAACAACCATAAGTGAATGTTTCCAGTTGTCTGGAAGAATTTTACTTACATTAAGATTCATTTTAGACATAATGCTGTAATACGTCAAATAAATTTGTTCAATCTCCGAGCCCTTCCTTCTTAAATAATTACAGTGTTAACCAATCACTGGGGACGTGGAATGTGGATACCCAAATATAAAGCTGATTAGAGGCAAATGAGCAAGTTTACTTGAGCCAGACACTTTTTGCTTCATTCCTCTCTACTCTTTCTCTAGACATAATTTAGTAAAACATACTTGCTCAAATTAGCTGTTTAGTTTGATTTTTCCTAGGGCTTGGCTTGAATATTAACAATGGGTACAGGAAACAAAGTTTGAAGGAGAAGAGGGACAGAAGTGCTGTACACTGTGCCCAAGGCCATAGTGACTCTGGGCTTACTATTTGATGTTAAGTGGGTTCACAGAGTACTTTAATGAAAACGTTTAAGAATTCAAATGTCCTCTGTAGGATTGACTCAGAACTCACAGCTATGTGGGGGAACATTCTTTGGTTTTCTAGAACTTTGGTTGGGTCTGTAAACACACATACATATAAAGAGGGAGAGAAAAATATAATCTATGGTAATTACTTAGCATGTATTAGCTTGTGGTACATTGGTGTATTAGCTTTTTGTTGCTGTGACAAAATGCCTGAGATAATCAAAAGAAGGAAAGGCTTGTTTTGGCTCATAGTTTCAGGATGTTAGTCCATGGTTGCTGGGTTCCTGTGGTGAAATAGAACGTCATGGTGAGAGCACACAAACCTGCTCGCTTTATAGCAGCTAGAAAGCAAAGGAAAAAGAGGAGAACAGTAGGACCTCCATATCCCCTTCAAGGCCCACCTCCTCTCCTAGGCTGTACCTCTTCTTGTTCCAACAACGCTTTCAGATGGAGGCCAAACCTTTGGCATAGGACTCTTTGGGGGACATTTAACATTCAAACTATATCCGGTAGAGATTGTAAAGATTGTTATTGTATTGAAAAATAAGATCATTTACTAATAGATTTCTGTGTTCTAGATGAGAGCTAGGAAATGTACACAGTCTTTCTGTGGTATAAATTTGGGATCAGTAAATGATGTTCTGCATACCCAATCTGGCTTATCACCTGTTTGTGCAAATAAAGTTTTATTGGAGCACAACAGTGCACTGCATTTGTTAATGTATCGCCTATGGTAGATTTTGTGCTGCAGCTATAGGATGGGTATGACAGGGACCGTACTATAGGGTATGTCCTGTGAAGCCTAAAATAGTTACCATCTGGTCCCTTACAGTAGAGGTTTGTCAATCCATGCTTGATAGTAGCTTGAAGGAAAAGATTAGGCTTGTTTCCTGCAAAATATGTGGTTTAGCGTTATTTATAAATTGGAACTAGTTGTTTTTAAAAGTTTAAACAAGAGGCATGAAAGTTATGGTTTTTTGCAAGTATAAAATCTAAGACTATGAAATTTTGTGTTTTATGAAGGTTTTTCCTGGATGTTTACTAAAATTCTCCTTACTACTTATTTTCCTGATAGGATATCCTGCTGACACTATAAAGCCATTGATGATGTGAAAATTGCAAAAGCATTCCATTTCTTACTTTCATTTGGTTGCCAAATAAATACAAATTAAGAACTAAGTTTAGTTGACAAGAGGTAGATTCTTTGGCTTTTAACCACAGGATTTTCTGTAGGTGTGAAATATCTTTAGACACTTTATGGAGAGAGATACCTTTTGAATGACAAAAGAATCATCTTCTGTGAACAGATATTAGAAGAGACTCCTAAATCCAGTGATAAAGTAGTGGATAAAGCTCTGTGGAATGCTAGTCAAGGCCTTTCCTGCCCTGTCAGGTTCTCAGGCGATGGAGTATGGCATCTGACTGATCTGCTTCACTGCTGTTTCCCTAGTTAAGAGTTCTGTTTACTGCTCAGCTCAGTTTTGAGCCTATTGCTTAATATCTTGGGCCTCACTTTTCCCATCTGCAAAAAGGAGCAATAATAATGACACCCCAGAGGGCGAGTACAGACAGCTTAGAAGTATGCTGTGATCACCCTTGGTATTGTCCAGTTGAAAGGTTAGGAGCAGAGAAGGGTCTTTGTAAAATAATAAACTAATTTAACTTCTAAAAAATTCACATTTCTGTAGGCATTATAATGAATTCATCAGAATGTTCTTAGAGAGACGGCATCCTCCCCTTGTACTGGTAAAGCCTTTGCTCTCACTTTTTTGTTTTCAATATTTATTTAGAAGCTTGAATATTTAAAAGGTTGTGTCTGTAATTTAGGTTTTTTGCACACTGTCTTTTTGCACCTGGCACATTTTCTCCCAAGTTCACAAAAGAAGCTGATTCCCTGACAGAAATGGGAAGTCTAGCAAGTCAAAACACTGCTTCCGAAGCTTAGCTGAGGTTATCCTGTTGTCAGACGTGCATGTCTTTACCTGTATCATCTCTCTGAAAATGAGCAGGCTAATGCACTTAACCACGGTCTGGGATAACACGAGACAATAGAACAGCAGCTCAATCAAACAGATGCAGAGAACAAGGGCATAGTATGTGCTCTGTCAGCCAAGTTTGCCTTGTTTTGTTTTTTAATGTTTCACTCATCTGCTCTAACACATAGTATGTTGTATAGTGAAAACAGAAAGGTGAGTGTTAAAAGAGGCCAAATGTGGCCCTCTAAAGACTGAAAATCCTCCTCCCCCACATACGGAGGTATGGTTTGACCACCACTCAAAGGCTGGTCTCTCTGAGTTTTATTTCCCTAAAGAATACTTTTGATCTAACATAAATTCTGCAAGAAGCTTAAAAACATT